AAGCAGATAAAGAGAGAGATAAAGAGAAAATATTAGTGTTTTGTTGTTGTTTTTATAATTATAAACTAGTTGTGAGTGCTTAGTGCTTATGTTTACAAATGTGATGACAGATTGTTTTTAAAGGGGTCATATGATGCTGCTAGAAAGAACATTATTTTGTGTATTTGGTGTAATGAAATGTGTTTATTCGGTTTAAAGTTCAAAAAACACATTATTTTCACCATACTGTACATTATTGTTTCTCCTCTATGCCCCGCCTTTTTGAAACGCGTCGATTTTTACAAAGCTCATCGGTCTGAAAAGCGAGGTGTGCTCTGATTGGCCAGCTATCCAGTGCGTTGTGATTGGCCGAATACCTCAAGCGTGAGACGGAAATATTACGTCCCTCACATACTGCTGATGCCATGTCCAGCCGGAGCGACGAGGCATAAACATTAAAACCCATTACAAATGAGGCATTTGTTGCATCCAGTGGGGACATAATTACTGATTATAATGACTTATACTGTCTTTTTACGCGTTGCGTTGCATGGCCGGAGCGTAACATAAAACCATGTCTGCATTTGTGATCGGAGAAATGACAAACGACAAGCGCTACTCTACACTGCTCAAACCTCGCGTTTGAATCGTCAGTGGCAAATCCTTTAAATGAAAACGTACTTACGTGAGTCAGAACTGCTGGCATTTTAGTCTAACGTTACTCTCCCTGGATCAGTAAACAGTCCTCCATAAAATGTGCTGCACACATCTGGATATTTGGGTTGAAGTGTTCTGGAACAGTGTTGTAAATACAACTTAACCAGACGAAGCGGATATCGTCCTCTTTTGGAAGGCCAAACAAAGTAGTTTCTCTTTCACAACGAAACACACGGCAAAAACAATACTACAGAGAGAATAAAAGTTACGCCTTCTTTCTTTGCGTGAACATTTGGGCGGCGTTATGCAAATCTTCCCACATCGTGAGGGAGACATGTGGGGGTGTGTTAGAACGAGCAGTTTTAGGTAGGCGTGGCTGACTCTTAACTTTTATAAAGAATATCTCTTTGGATTTGAGACTTTAGTCTTTGCAACTTTACAGATCTTCTTTATGCACCAAGAGCTTGTAACACTCCAAAGAGAAAGGAAGAATTGAAATGGCATCATATGACCCCTTTAAAAGTAAAAATGTTTATTTTTGTAATTGTAGCCTACCAGCCACTAAGATTTCCTGAAAACACCTGCAAATTTCATTTCCCCTCAAAACATTAAAGATTACACTAAAGACGTATTCATTATTAACCTCGCAGTCACCCTCGTTTAGACTTTATGTAGCTAAGATAGAGACCGCGCTGGTGTGAGTATTTGCCTTACATTTTAATCTATTTGTTTGGTTAAACGCGCTTTAGAATGACTTTTAATAACTAGTATACTTAACAATGTTGAAGTGTGTTATCTTTGTATGACAAACCTTGCTGTAGCCATCCATACCAGCAGCAAGCGCACGATTTTTCAATGCCAGGAAGCCTGCACCAATCCGGACTCACCTTTCCTGTCACATGACTCACGGCGTTCCGTAATCTCGCTATACGTCCTCTCGCGAGCTTTCCTTTTCCCTTTTCACTCTGAGTCCAAGATGGTAGGTAGCTTGATTTCTTATGGAATATACCAGTGTCCAAAACCTACCTCCATCCTCAGCTATATCTCTTCTAATTCTGCAGCAGATGATGTTTAGAAGCATAACATAGTGCTACAAGTCAAAAGATATGTGTATTGTGTGTGGATTTAATAAGTAAATGTCGGCTAGCGCACATCGGGCCGCGAAGCGTAGATTCCCATTCATGTGTTAAAATACTTACAGATGTCTAACGACAACGTGTCACGGTCTTATTGAGATTTTGTATATCTAGATATTCATAACATATTTGCTGATATTTCAGTTGCCTAGACGCTAAATCAAACTCGTGTTGGCTAAGCTAATTCTGTTGATGCGGTTCTATGAGCCACATGAGTTACAATGTATCTGAGACAAATGTATTAATATGAGTGTTATGAAGTTATCTTCATTTCACGTTGGTTTTGTGGTTATTATATCCATTATTTATCAAATATGCATCATTGTGGCTAGTTGATATTTAAGTTCTTTGCTAGTGTAATCTGTTGAGAACGTGGTAAACCTGACACTGCTCCACGTTTTTTATAATGATTCTTTTTATTTGTGTGTAATTTATTATTGTGTTTGAATCTAAAAGGGAGTTGACATCAGACACAACAAGGACCGTAAGGTTCACAGGAAGGAGCCCAAAAGTCAGGATATTTACCTGAGGCTCTTGGTCAAGGTAAGAACCATAATGAAACTTGAGGGCATATAAATAAGCAAAAAACTTAAGTTTGAGAATGCACATTTCTATGGCTGATTGCATAAGTTGTCTGTTTGTTGCTTTAATTTTATACCAATGCATTTTTGTTGTATTGTAGTTGTACAGATTCCTGTCTCGCCGTTCTGATGCTCCCTTCAACAAGGTCATTCTGAGAAGACTCTTCATGAGCAAGACCAACCGCCCCCCTCTGGCCTTGTCCCGACTGGTGAGTTTGAGCCCCAGTTTTACTCCTGTACATGCACATCTCATTTACGTTTGCCCTGTTGTGTTAAGCCTTGTCACTTGAGTAAACATTCTGTTATGTTCAAAAAGATGAACAAGTATTTTTATTTAATTTTTTTTGCTTCTAGATCCGTCAGATGAAGCTTCCAGGCCGTGAAAACCTGACTGCTGTTGTTGTGGGAACTATTACTGATGACGTCAGGATTCAGAAAATCCCTAAACTGAAGGTAAGACGAGACAATGAAAATCATACAACATTGTCATAAAGCCTTTGTGTTCAAGGTCTGTCTGTCCGCACATCTGTCTTGCTTCTGATTCTTACCATGTGTTCATGAGAAATTAGTTTTTAAGAGATACTGAACTGCATGATTGATCCTTGTGATTGTTAAATGTGAATAGTTAAAGGTGTCCTCTTTTTATTAAAGTATGCTGTCTAGATTCCTTTTAGCACTTTTTTAATGCTCTATTTTTATTATTATTTTATTATATATAAATAGTGATAATATAAATCTACCGCAGGAATATTTAGGCCAATATATTTTTTCTGCTATTAAAAAGTGGACTTTTTAACAAATTGGGGAGTGTCTATGTATTTTATAAACCGTAAATAATTCGGGGTTTTTAATGGTTTAAAGTTGTAATATTTGTATGTTCAATAAAAACAATAGTTACTGAAAGTCTAAATGACTTTAGTTTACATCTTGGTTTTGTGTATTTTAGCATTATTATTTATTGCCGCTTAAATATAGAATTTTGGTGTGATATTACCTACTGTTTTCTTGACAAACACCCAAGTTTGTGTTTAAATTTAATTGCAATCTTAATCCACATCTCTTGAGATTACAAAAGGGATAAATCTTGCTAATGCTTTTTGACCATTGGCAAGCACCGTATGGTAACAACTGTGCTTTGTGGTAATTTGCATGCTTTTTAAAGATGGACAGTCTTTAAAAACTGCTGCAAGAACAGTATTTTCTATCACCGCTCCACTACAGTGAGTGGGAGCTGTTAGGAACAAAAAGAGGAGCACGGAAGCATTTGAAACGGGCTGTTATTGCAACAGATATGTGATGTAAGTAGCAGTAAAATGTTTACCATTTAAACAATAGCATGTACATTTTCCTATTAAATAGGATATTTAAATAATGCATAAATATGACATTTTCCTATTATTAAATTAAATATTAATTTCTGACTTGTCCAAGCAGTGTGACTGACCATATGAGAAGCTCACACCTCCACCGTGCATTTATCTTCATCCGAACGCACAAGTTTTATCTGAGGAGCCATGCAGATTTATTTTTACAGATGTTCCCATGAAAAGAAAATGATCATACAAATAGGGCTTAAGTCACCCTTGGAAGTTTGCTGAAGCCCACTATTGTGATCCAAGCTGCTGGTTGAGAAATGATAAGTCTTTACAGAACTTTGAGATGAAAACTGCTCGGGTGCGTTTCCCGAAAGCAA